GGCTCCAGATTCCAAAGGCAGGAGTTTGAGGGGTGTAGAAGTATGGGTCACTATAGCCCTGAGATGCTAAAATCCTCGATTATCAGGGCAGGATGGCAGCGTGGAAAGCATATCTATGTCTTAATTTTATAGTTGGGGAAACTGAAGCTGGATGTGGGAAGTGGCTAGCCTAATGTCCCTTAATCAGAAAACACAGCCCCAAGAGCCGATGACCCCCAGGCCAGCATGCTTGCCAGGTCTGTGGCATGTGCTGAGCACACACCAATGGTCCCAAGTCCATAAATCCAACAGTTAAACTCCTCGTATGAGGCTGCTGGATAACCACCAGGCAGTCCCAGGCACAGCCCAAATCCTTACAATAAAGCCCCTTGCCATTTCTAGCTAGGGTGGGTTTTTACTTGTAAAAGTTAGGAGAGAAAACCCTCCAACTTTAGAGTCAAGCAGATGTAGAATCGAAAACGGCTTTACCATTTATTAACTGTGTGACCTTAGGCAAATTACTTGACCTCTCTGAGCTTCAATTTCCTCATCAGTAAAATGGATCCAAAGCGAGATCACATCATAGTGAACATAAGTTTCTGGAGCAGAGTAAATGAAAAAGAAGTTACAGAGTGTCAAACTGCCTAGTGTAAAAGTTAGCACTTAGTAGGTGCTCAATAAAGACCATTCTGAATCCATCAGAGGCCAAACGTACCTAGCATGTAAGAGAAGGGCCTCACAGGAGATGTCAGTTCTAGAGGCACTTACCACACATCTCTGTCTAAAACCCAAAGAGGGGAAGTTCAGCAGAATTCGGGGAGGTCTGAAATAGGGGCCACCATTCATCATAACCAAGGAAATAAGATCTGGAGGTTCTAGTGATGGGAAGCAGGAAAGGGAAGTTGAAAAGGAGGCTTAAGTGTGAGAGAAGTTACATTTTTTGGAGTTTCCTTTCTATTTAAGGTCTTGCTAACCACTTGGTAAAACTCATTTCTGGTTCATGTTCTTAGCAGGAAAACACATTTCATGCTAAACAGTAAGAACAGACCCCAGCTTGGAAAGTCCTCAGAGGTTCTCATGTTTCTTGTGTCATCTGTAACCGTAGGGTACCATGGGCTGAGTGACTCAATTTGAATAATTGTACTTTGAGGATTTCTAGGGGAAGCACCCAGGGCAACCTTCTGACTGGGATCTTATAACGCACAGACAGAATCAAAGCAAGATGCTTCTGAGGCCCAGAAGGCTCACTCCAGATTGCAATGCATTCATTCAACAAAAATTGATTGCTCACACAATGTGTGCTGAAGATGCCCTCAGAGACTAAGGACCCATAGTGAGCAACCTGAACACCAAGGGGCTTACACCCTGTCGGGGGAGGCTACCAAAAGAGAATCTCCCATGGGAATAGGTTCCAGGGCAAAAGGTGTAGAACTTGGGAACCTAGTAATGACTGGGAGTTAAAGAATATCTCTTCAAGGAGATGGCACTAGAGGTGTGAATTGAAGGAGGAGAAAGGAATGTATTCGTCTCCTGGGGCTGCCATGACAGAATATTATACATTGGGGAGCTTAAAATAACAGAAAAGCGTTTTTCCACAGCTCTGAAGACTAGCAGTCTGAAGTCAAGGTGTCAGCAGGGCCGTGTTCCCTCTGAAGGCTGTAGGGAAGAGCCTTTCTTTGCCTCTTCCTGGAGTCTGGTGGTTGCCAGCGATCCTTGGTGCTCCTTGGCTTGGAGATGCATCATTCCCACCTTTACCTCCATCTTCCCAAGGCCTCCCCACTGTGTGTCTCTGTCCTCAGGACACCAGCCAGTGGATTAGGGGCCACCCTCATCCAGAGTGACCTTATCTGAACTTGACTGCATCTGTGAAGACCCTATTTCTGTTACACATAAGGTCCCGTTCACAGGTTCTGGAAGTTCAAACTTCAGCCTATCTTTCGCGAGACACAATTCAGCACGCTGCAGGAAGCAGCGCAGGCAGGGTGAGCATCTGACGAAGCCCTGAGCTCGGCAGCAGATGGAGGCTTCAGGAAGGAAGGAAGCCAGTGTATCTGGAGCCCAGTGAGGAAAAGGGATAGTGGGTGGCAGTCAGATCATACGGACCCAGGAGATGCTGAAGAGCAACGGGGGAATTCACCAGTTTTTAACTCTGAGATAGACACACTTTTTCCAGCTCATGCTGTTTGCCTCAAAGAGGTCAGCATCCTGGCACAGAGTTGTGGCCACGCTGCCTCTTCATAGTCTGATGCACCACACCTGTGACTGGCCTGCCACTCCAGAGCACCAGAGGTGAGGCAAAAATAGCTTCTGGTGTTGACAGCTCTCTGCTCTGGGAAACCAGAGGCTAAAGGTGTCCCATTTACTGCACAGTTGCTGCCTGAGTGCATCCCGATGGGCAGCAGGGGAAACCAGAAAGGGCACTTCTCTGCAACAAAAAAAAAAAAAAAAAAAAAAAGGAAACCTTGGACATATATATGTATATCAAAAGGTTTGTGCTTAAAGTCAAGATTTGTTTTCTGTGCAGTCCGCCTTTGGTATGTCTTTGGTATAAGGGAGTCCAGTCATTTGTTTTACAAATACTTACGGAGTGCCTACCATGTCACAAATATTTTCCTTGGAAAGAGATAAGACAAAACTCCCTGCCTTCCTGAAGTTTCTATTCCAGGGGAGTAGGAGAAACTAATAAATCAACTCAAACAATTAATTGTAGGACCCAGTAGGAGACACCAAGAACAATGGAGGAAAAGAGAACCAGCAAAGAGCATAGCGAGCTTCATGGGATGTGGGGAAGTTTGAGTGTTAAATTTGGTGGCCAGGGAAGGCCTCATGGAAATGAAGATACCTGAGCAAAGACTGAGAAGGGATGAGGGAGTGGACAGACAGGCTACAGAGGAAACAGCAGGTGCAGAGAACTTGAGGCAGAATTATGGCTGGAGGGTCTGAGTTATGACAAAGGGGCCAGGATGCCAGGGTGAAATGAGATGGAAAGAAAGAGGATGTGATCAGAGACGTCACAGGGCTGCATCCCATGGGCCTCGCAGGCCATGGTGAGGCCTGTGGCTTTTACTCCAAATTAGATGGAACCTTTTGAGGGTTTTGAAGTAAATGGGCTTATGTGCTCTGGCTGCCATTTCAAAGGATCACCTAGGCTGCTGTTTTGAGGACAGATTGAGAGGCAAAGGCAGAAGCTGGGAGACCAACCCAGGGGCTGTTGCAAAAATTCCAGGCAGGAATGATGGTGGCTTTGACCAAGAAATGAGAGGAGGTCATAGTCTGGATACATTTGACAGATGGACTGGATAGGTAGCGTGACTGCCCAAGGGATTCTTCCTGCCCACTGCATCCATGCACCGTGGTCAGCAGTGTCCCCCCGCTAGAGATGGTGCCAGAGTCAGCCCCCATCTCTCTGCCAGGAGAACTAGGCAGCCGCTTGGGCTGGCCTCCAGGTCCGTTGCCAGCGAGGGGCTACCGAACCATGCACAGGTAGCCAAGAGTACAATCCCACATGAGACCCCAGATTTGTTACCACCCAAGGGGTTATTCCTGCCCACTGCATAAAGAAAGACCATAGCACTGTAGTAGAGAAAGAATTTAATAGACACGAGGCCAGCCACGCCACATGGGAGATGGAGTTCGTACTCATATCATCTTGTTCAAAGCTCATAGGTTAGGGATTTTTCAAAGGCAGTTTGGGGGAAGGGGTGGGGGTGGACAGGTAACAGGTGCTTGCTGCTGATTGGTTGGGGCAGAGAGGAAATGGTAATGGGTTGAAGCTGTCCTCCTGTGGGGCTGAATTGCTTCTGGGTGGAGCCATCAGGTCCAGGTGGAGCCATGGGTGTCAAATATGCAAAAAACCTGGAAAGATATCGCAAAAGGCCAATCTATAATAGTAGTGTTGTATTGGGAAAGTTGCATATCTTATAACCACCGGAATAATGTCTGCACCTTAGTAGGATTCAGGCTCTTCTCCCCACACCCTGATGGTCCCCTATTAGCTTTACAAAAGTGGTTGAGTTTTGGGCAAGGCCTATTATCATTTAAACCGTAGCCTAAGTATCTTCTAAAGTTAGCTTGACCCAATAGCCCAGGAATAATTAAGGGAAAGGCAAGATGGAGGTTGGGTTAGCTCAGCTTGCTGTTATCATTTTCTCACTGATATACCTTTTGAAAATTTTTTGCAAATAATTTTCTCACTGATATACTTTTTGCAAAGGTGGTTTCAATAGGATGGATGAGAGAGGGGATGACCAACTGAAGTTCCTCATCTAAGCCAAAGCCTTCCCGATCTCAAGGGCTTTGTCAGAACGTCTTTTCCACCCTCCCTGCAGCAGGCTTCTTTAGGTCTGGGCTTGACTGTCACCTCCCCAGAGAGGGCTTTGCTGGACCCCAGTTCAAGTGTGGTCCCCTGTAATTCTCATTCCCGTCCATGTGGATGTTGTACTTAAACACAAGTTAGTGGCCTGCTTAGGTTTTGTCTGTTGGCTTGATTTGGGTCTGTGCCCCCAACTGGATGCATCAAGCTCCATGAGAGCAGAGACCTGGTTTCTCTTGTGCAGTGCCACATCCCCAGAACCAAGCTCAGGGCCACTCAGAGGAGGTGCCCACATGATATTTAAATGAGTGCATATTTACATGAGTATATAAAATATCTAACAAGGCATTTGTTTCAGCAAGGAGGGAAGGAAGGGAGGGAGGAATGGAGGGAGCGAGGAAGGAAGGCTGGAAGAAGGAAGGAAGGAAGGGAGGGAGGGAGGGAGGGAGGGAGGGAGGGAGGGAAGCAGAAATTTATGGAATTTGCAAACTCAGCATTTAAACCCAGTTTTGCTTACCCAAATCTCACTCACTTTCTACTTCCCTCCTGCACCCCACACAGCCATCAATCAATGAACAAACCCACCCTGAGGCTGGCTGGGGAAACTGAGTCCTTAAAATGCTTACAATGTAACTGAGGATGCTAAACTAAGATATACATAACACAACAGTGACCATGATAAAAAAAAAAAAAAAAATTCATTAGCAAATTTCGTTGTAGAAGACGATTTAATTATAAGGAAAAATGTTTATGACACAGTTTTAAAAGAACGTTTTAGAAAACAGCATGTAAAATATAATCTCCTTCCTAAAAATATATATGTACATAGGAAATGTACTGGAAGATTTTACATCAAAATGTGAGCTGGGTGTATTTGACTGGGGTGATTGCTTGTATTAATTTGGCTAGTTTGTTTATTTAAATTTTCTGTTGTGATTCGGTATCACTCTTGGAGCAATACAAAAGTAATTAAAATTATATTTCTGCATACATATAAGTCTACAGTGAGCTGCAAGGTCAGCAGCGATTCCCATAGAAGGGGCAGGCCAGTGGTCAGGCAAGGCTTCCAGAAGGAGGGAAGGCGTGGACAGAGGTGGAGCACGCAGGTGAGAGGACATTTCCTGCTGCCGTTTTCCCAGTGACGCTGGGTGGTGGCCCCAGACTCCTCTCGGGTGTTCTGCCTCTTCAAGCCTCTGAGGGAGAAATGCAACTTGTTGGCTGGGTCCCTGAGAGGACCCTCCTGCCTGGCTTTGACCTAGAGGTCTCTTGGCCTCCACTGCCTTCATTCCAAAACACCCCTGAAAGCATCCCTCCTCGGAAGACCCAGGAAAAGCTCACCATTCCATATCAGCCAGGGATGTGTGAAAACGTGACCCACATGTCGCCATATGCAATGACGCGGAGAACAGGAGTCACAGTGAGAGGGCCGGGTGGGAGACCCACTCTCCACTGCTTAGCTAGGCGACCCCGGGGGAGTCACTTCATCTGGGAGCATTAGTTGTTTGTAAAATGGGGTAATGAACCTCTCACAGGACTGCAGTAACGGCAAAGGAAGATAACTTTCGTGAAATTAATGGGAAAAGGCCAGAAAAGCTGCTTTCTAGACGGTAACTCACACACAAATGTTAGCAAACAATGATCCCATGGAAATTCAGTGCAGGACTCACTCTTGCTGGTAACAGTGACGGAGAGCACAAAAGTCCCTGTCCACAGGGGCCAGGATCCCTGGGGGTCCCGAGGCCTGGGCAGAAGGCACTAGGGATGCGCCCAGCAGGGCCTTAGTTACTGCCAGCTTGCTCAGCATGGAGGAAACCTCTGCAGAGGAGGGGTGGACTGATGAAGGGAAGCAGCAGAAGACAATTTCACACCGAGTGCTTACAAAGTGCTGGGAACCGTATTATCTCTAATATAAGACCCTGCCAGGTAGTTATCATCTTCATCATTTTAAAAATGAGTAAAGTGAGGCACAGAGTGTTATGCAACCTGTGCAAGGTCACACAGCCAGAACATGGCCTCTGTACCTTCATTCTATGCACACTAATCTCCATCCCCAGGGCCGAGGGGCTGCAACCGGATGGTTAGGTTTAGTCTTAGCCCTGATGGTGAGGTGGGGAGGGGACAACGGTGACTTGAAAAGCTCTCTGTTCCCCTTGGCAGCTGTCTTTCCATTCTCACCCCCTCCTGCCTCCCTCTACCAGGCCTGTTGATCACAGAGGCACCATCCCATCTGCTTAGCCTAGAAGTTCAGAATCTCCCGTGGTTTCTGAAGCCTCCAACACTATTCTTTGTGACACTCTAAATACAGCAGCTTCTCCTCCTGGGGATGACAGAGGGTCAGTCAGAGCCCTGGGCCTCTGCTCCCAATCCCTGAGCCCAACCCTGTTCCCAAGGCTGCACACTACAAATCCAGCCCCTTATTGGAAGGACATGGTGGGAAGAGGGGAAGGCAGAGAGGATAGGGGATACAGGAATTGCTCCTAGGAAGGGAGGTCCTGAGGTCCAGAGAGGGGAACAACTTCAGGCCTGGCTCATGGAGACGTGTCCAGCCTTAGAGGGAGCAGGATCAAGCAGAGTTCCAGGTGCCGGGTGGGGCAGAAAAGGAGGGTGGTCCCAGAGCCCCGTCTAAGTCCCTGCAGGAAATCTCTGAGGAGGAGCTGGCTGGGGGAGGCTGGGGTGCAAAATGCCTGTCCACTGGCTGTGGGGCAGGATAGGGTGGAAACTAAGAGGGGAGTTCTTGTCTGAAGCTCGTCCCTACGCTGATGGCCCAGAGTGCAGCTAGGAGGTATGGACTCTGAAGCTAGACTGCCTGGGTTGGAACCCTGGCTCTGTTACTTAATAGATTCTCAGGTAAATGAGTTAAGCCTCTCTGTGCCTTAGTTTCTCCATGTTTACAAGGAATGATAATCTCACCTGCCTCAGTGTTGATAAGAGAAAGGAGATGAGTGTGTATGGTTGAAATTTTCACAGGGAGCCCGGGGTGCCGTCGGCACTGCCCAGTCCAGTGACCGGCACACCTTTTCTGTAAAGGACCAGAGGGTCAATATTTTAGGCTTTGCTAGCCAGATGGTCTCTGTTAAATATTCTTTTTGTATTCTTCAACCCTTTAGAGAGACGTAAAAATTGTTCTTAACTCAGAGTTCTTACAAGCACAGAACACTGACCAGATTTAGCCCAAAGGCTGTAGTGTTTCTTTGTTTGTTTGTTTGTTTGTTTTGAGAGGGAGTCTCACTCTGTTGCCCAGGCTGGAGTTCAGTGGTGTGATCTCAGCTCCCTGCAGCCTCCACCTCCTAGGTTCAAGCGATTCTCTTGCCTCAGTCTTCCAAGTAGGTGGGATTACAGGTGTGCGCTACCATGTCTGGCGAATTTTTGTATTTTTAGTAGAGACGGGGTTTCGCCATGTTGGCCAGGCTGGTCTCGAACTTCCTACCTCAAGTGATCCACCCGCCTCGGCCTCCTAAAGTTCTGGGATTACAGGCATGAGCCACCATGCCTGGCAAAGGCTACAGTTTAAGGGCCCCTAATCTAGACTAACGGTGACCCTAGAGTTGCAGGTGTGGTTAGGGGCAGGCATGTTGGCTGGCTTCAGTTGGAAGCAGTTTCTAGGCCAGCCTGGTGAGGCAGAGGAAACATGGCAAGACTGGGGGCCTGCGTGGGGTGGAGCACAGCCTGCTGTGAGCTCTCGTGCTGAGCCCTGGACCCACCTGCTGCCATCATTCCCATCGAAGTTTAAGAAGCACCTGAGGCTGGAGCCTCTGAGGACAATGATAATGGACAGTGTGCCATTCCGAAGGGATGACCCCCCACACATCCTCTCATAAACATTTACAAGTTGTTTACTATATGCTAAGCACTGGCCTAAGCCATGAACAAGGCAAAGGGGCCCGGGCTCGACCCTTGGAGGTCTCAGCTGGCAGGTTGCACCTTTGACAGCCCCAAGTTGGGTCTTCATCCTGAGTCTCGAGATGCACTAGCCTCAGTGAATTCCTCAGCCTCCAAGGGTTCCTGGGGTGATCCTCTTGGTGGGGCTTGCGAATCTGGAGCCCATTATTCTGTCCTTCTGGAGAGAAAGAGAAAAAGAAAAAAAAGATCCACTGACTATAAAATGGTAGCAGGATGGTGGCCCACCCACCTTGCTCAGCTGGTACAGGGGACAGGGCACCCTTCTAATGAGGACCTTAGAGCATCTGACACATGTTCACTCATTCCAGAAAGCTCTCCTTCACCGCTCTAGACACCAGGGTCTCGAGAGGCTCCTAACTGTGGGCCCTGTCCATCAAAGAGATTGACAACATATAGTGAATGTTGCCATTTTACAGATTGGAAAACTGAGTTTGAATAAAGCTAACTAAGGTGTCTAAGATCATGCCATTCACCATGATGGAAAAGTAAATCAGAATCTTATGTACCCTGTGCCCCACAAACACAGTGGACTCCTTCCTGTACCCCACCAGCATTCTATTCTATAATATTACAAAGCACAGTTGCACCTGGTTGGTTTTCTTTTTTATCTTAACTCATGTCCTCTGTGCCCTGAGCCTACTTGTTGCAGGACTCATGGTTAATCCCTAATGCATATACCAGCAATTGACAGGTGGGTTGAGTTTCTTTTTACATAGAAATGAAAGTAACACCATCTTACATATGAGATCTGGAGGGCACAAAGAAGCCAGTTCTGACCATGCCGAAAGAGTGTGGTGGAATTGGAATGGAAAAGAAAAGCCTCCATAAATATCTTAGAAAGAGCATCAAGAATGCGTACCTCAAGCTGGTTCCTTGTTTTCACCTGTGACTGACCACAACACTAACAAGGGAAAATGAAATCCGTGATCATCCTCAAACAGGGTCACCCTGACATTCAGAGCAGAAACCACAAAGTTTTGCTGTAAAGAGCCAGACAGTATATATTTTAGGCTCGGCAGGGCACAGGTCTGCCTCACGATTCCACTCCCCCACTACAGCAGGAAAGCAGCCACAGACAATATGTAAAGAAATGGACATCGCTATGTTCCAATAAAACTTTATTTACAAAAACAGGCTGTGGGCCATAGTGTGCCAATTCCTGGTCGAGTACAGACAATGGCAATGTGACCACTTAATGAGATTCTATCGTGTGCCAGGAACTCTACATCTTTTAATCTCCTTTCTAAGGCAGGTATTTGCTGAGTGCTCACTCCAGGCCAGGCACTGTTCTAGAAGCTGGGCTTCAGTACAGAAAAAGACAAAACCCTGCTCCCTCAAGCTTACATGGTGGAGAACCCTGCCAACACCCCACCCCCACCCCAGGAAAAAGCATCACCTCCACTTTTCAGAAAAAGAAAAAGGTACAAATCCTAGAACTTGTGAGGGGCACAGCTGGGATTCCAGCCCAGATTCCAAATCTCGGTTCTTTTCAGGGTGCCATACCATCTCTCAAAGCAGAATCAGGACCCTCAATTTCAGCCCAGGGGCTGCATCTCATTTTCAGCCAAGTCAAACTGCAGCTGCAATCTTTTACGCAACAGCAACCCAAGTTTTAATGCCCAAAGCAAGAAAAGATGCAGTGGAAGCTGTCAAGCCACAGATAAAACTAATAAAAGCGCTCTCGGGGGCAGGCCATGCAGGGCTGGCCCCATCCACGTCTGGAACCAAGAGATGCAAAAGACGCAATGGATTTAAACTCTGCCTGTCCACCAACAGTCCCATAGACTGAGAGGTCTGGGGGAGGCTCTGGAGCAGGAAGGTGGAGCTGACAAACACAGCTCTGCTGTTTTGAGGCTGGGTATGGGCATGGCAGTGGTTCAGAGTCTCCCTGCTATCCTTTTTCTTATGGTTTTACATGGCTTGGACCCCAAAATAAAAGAACGCTCTGTGAAAGGGAATGAAGACAAGGAGGAACACAGAGTAGAAGAAAAAACCTTTCTTGAGTGCCCACTAGATATCAAGCATGTTAACATTTTACCCACACACGATGGGCAGGTATTCGTCATTGCTCCTGTTTCATAGACCAAGGATCAGCACAAAATGTTTTTGTAATGGGCCAAGTAGTAAATATTTTGGTTTTGTGGGCCATCCTATCTCTGTTGAAACTACTCAACTGTGCCATCATTGAGTGAAAGCTCTGCACACACCAACTATAGCTTGTGTAGATAATACATAAATGAATGAGCATAGTTGTGTGCCAATAAAACTTTATTTATAAATGCTAATGTTAGATTTTCCTATAATTTTCATGCTATAAAATTATACTTCCTGTGATTTTTTTAATTTAAACATGTAAAAATGTAAATGTTTCTATTTGCATTTAATTTACATTTACATTGAAAAATGTAACATTTTCTATGTAAAAATCATTTTAAAATGTAGCAACCATCTAAGGATGGTTAGTGTGCAAACTGTACAAAAACAGGCAGTAGACTGCATTTAACTTGTGGATCATAGTTTGCTGACTCCTGTTCTAGAAGAATTCACAGCTGTCATTTAGGTGACCTGGCAACCTGATGCAGAGTCTGGGTTTGCAGGTGCATATGCCATGCTGCTGATGTGGCATTAGGAGGGGTGGTGAGGGCTATAGCAAAAACCTATCCATTTTGACAACTTCAAGTAGAACAGTAAAGGCCTTTATCCATTCAATCATTCAATCATTTATTCATTGGTTCCTCAAAATGTGCAGAGCTGGCAGGGCACAGTGGCTCACACCTGTAATCCCAGCACTTTGGGAGGCCAAGGCGGGCAGATCACCTGAGGTCAGAAGTTTGAGACCACCTTGGCCAACATGGTGAAATCCCGTGCCTACTAAAAATACAAAAATTAACTGGGCATGGTGGTGTGCGACTGTAATCCCAGTTACTTAGGAGGCTGAGGCAGGAGAATCGCTTGAACCTGGGAGGCAGAGGTTGCAGTGAGCCGAGACGACGCCGTGGCACTCCAGCCTGGGTGACAGGGCTAGACTCTGTCTCAAAAAAAGAAAAAAATGTGCAGAGCCCTGAGGCAGGTGATATTCATGCCAAAGGCCTCCTTCAAGCCTTACAACAACTCTTTTTTTTTGAGTTGAAGTCTCGCTCTTGTCCCACAGGCTGAGTTCAATGGCGCGATCTCAGCTCACTGCAACCTCCGCCTGCTGGATTCAAGCGATTCTCCTGTCTCAGCCTCTGGAGTAGCTGGGACTACAGGCACCTGCCACCATATCTGGCTAATTTTTGTATTTTTAGTAGAGATGGGGTTTCATCATGTTGGCCAGGCTGGTCTTGAACTCCTGACCTCAGGTGATCCACCCGCCTTGGCCTCCTAAAGGTCTGGGATTACAGGCGTGAGCCACTGTGCCCGGCCTTCTTAAGAGGGCTGGTTATTTACAATGCTTATCCCCATTTTACTGATGGGAGAACAGAAGTGTGGAGAGAAGCCCAAGCTCTTTCCATGATCCAAGCTGCTTAGTCATTGTGAGGGTAGACTCTTTTCTTTAAGGAACATGGCAGCAAATAACCAAAATAGAAAAAAAGAAAAGAAAAGAAAAGACCAAAAAAGAAAGAGAGATCTTAAAGTTGCATACAAGTATTATTCCAGATGTGGCAGTTGAGAAAGCTTGGTGGAAGAGGCATCTGGGCAGGATAGGAGAGGGCAGAATTTCAGCCACAGGAGGTGGGGGCACCACGGACAGCAAGAAACAGAAAGAACAGAAAAAATAAAGCCCCAGAGAGCAGGAGGGAAGACTGAGCAGATGGCAGAAGATCTCTTGGCTGTGCAAAAGTTATTAGGTTGCTGCAAAAGTAATTGCGATCTGCAACCTAATAGTATGGACACTGGGAGGTGGGCTGGATCAGTCAGAGGAAGGCCTGAGGCCCCTGCCCAGGGAAGGGGAAGGGAAGAGCTTCAGGGAGCTGGAGACACCTGGGCCATCTGTCTGATGTGACAATTAAGCAAAGGTTGGTGTGTTGGTAGTACAAGACTAGAGAGTTTCAGAAGGTGCTGGAAGGGGAGATGGAAAAGGACATAGAGAAAAATAAATGAGACACGGCAGGGGGACTTGCTGACAGCTGGAAATTCTGAGCTTAAGGGTTCTTTGCAGCTTCCCAGCCCCTGCACTGGGAGGGTCAGCTGGGTCCGCACGGTGGGATGGAGGGGTAGGTGTCACCACCAGGCCCAAAGCTTGCACACGGCCCAGGGGACAAGGGGAGAGCTCAGTCCAGTTGTTGACCTGGTGGGCTTCGGCTTTCTCAAACTCCTCTCATATTCCCACCCTCACAACCTTATGAGGACAGCTCTCAGCAACCCCACAGGACAGCGGGGACACTGAGACCCACAGGCCACAAAGCCTGGAATGGAGACATACCCTGAGTTTTCCTATGACTGCTAATGATGCCAGCTGGCACCTGTGGGTGCCAGGCACTGGGCTAAGCTTTTACCATCCTCACAACTTTGCAAAAATGTATTACTTATTATAAATGTATGTATATATAAATGAAATACTGTATATTATCCTGATATATAACTTTAAAGGTAGAGCAGTTGTTCTGTCCCACACTGAGTATGCAGCCAGGATTGAACCCAGCTGTTTTCTTTGTCACCTTACCGCCCTTTCATGTATCCCTCTAGAGTCTAAGCAGCACCTCTGGAGAACAGAGAGTTATCAAGAATGAAGAAGAAGGGAGAAGCAGCTGTCTTGGGGACACCGGAGCCCCATTATGTCCCCAGATGAGAATGTAAAGGACATGTTGGGGGAGGGGCAGGTGAGCCAGGGTGCTGTGTGATGCAGGCACTGGAGGATGATTCTGAATAAAGGTCAGGCTTCTCCAGCGTGAGAAAGCCAGCTGGAGAGGAGTGATTCCCTCACCCACAGCAGCACAGGCTTAGCCAACAGCCAGGACCAGTGCCGGACTTGGCCGAGAGTGCAGGTTGTATAATCATCTCAGCCCTGCCGGTCACTGCAGAGCACCGGGGCAACCTTGGGACAGGAAAAACAAACTCATGAATGCCTGCCAGGCCGGGACAATCTGAGGAGTAAACAGAGGAGTGATCGCGCCCCAGGGACCTAACACTCCTCCCTGTCCTGCTGGGCTAATAATCATCACAGTAACTAACATT